TTGCGCAAAACCTGCTTCAAGGTTTCTAATCCTCCAAGTGAGCTCAACAGTTTGTCATCTCCATTATTCAGATTACACACTCATCTTTTGCGATGCAAAATCCCAACAAGTAGACACCCTATGGCCATTCCGTAGGCGCTCCTAGGTCACCACAGCATTTAAGAAAATCATGGAAAACAGTAGGCTGCATAAAGCTCCTTGGAACCCTGTTGTCGAGTGTTTTGAATATGAGCTTGTTGCGTGGACGTGTCATTACCCTTCCTTGGAAGTAGGGTTACTCTAATCAAATCCACCCTTTCTAATATCTCAGTATTCCAAATGTTCCTTTTTAGAATGCCTATGTCTAGAGTAAGCTGACTAGAGAGACTCATTAAGACTTTTATGGTCCGGGCTTGATGGGGGCTTGCAAATTCCATTGGTAAAGTTGGATACAGTGTACTGGTCAAAAACGTGTGGAGGCCTGGGTATTAGGAAACTTCAGGAAATAGGAAACTAAGAGCCTGCAATAATTTGCTCTTAGTAAATGTTGATGGCATTTTGTGGCTGTAGAAGGCCAGCTGTGGGAACAAGTGGTTCAAGAAAAACATGGGCTGGATGGTTCAGGATGGCTTCCCATGAGTCTGGCCGATGCTTATGCATTTGGGGCCTTTAAGGCTATTGCCTCGGCATCTCATTACTTTATTGAAATCACCTTTGGGCTAGATATTCCACCTTGGGATCCCTCTTCCTGAGGCTGTTCTTTGTTTTGCTTGTACCCATGGTGCTTTGGTGTCCAATCCTTCTATCCCATTTGAGGCTAGGTGGTCTGGTCCACCAGGTTCAGGAGGAACCTCTTTGGATCCCAAATATCAGAGTTCACTAGGTCTAAGATAAAGGTAGTGGCACTTTGCTAATGAAGAAGGTCACTTATGGCAACAAGTGGTTCAACAACAATATGGGCTGGATAGTTTGGGGTAGATTCCAAGGGGCATAGCCAACGTTTTTGGGGTAGATCTTTATCCTAGAACGTGACTGTTTCGGCATCATCATCATCATCATCAAAAGCCTTTTCCAACTATTTGTGGTCGGCTCCACGGAAATAGGGGATATCAGGACCCCAACTATTTGGGGGCAGCAAATCAGGACTTTATTAGAAATTTGGTACAATGAAAACAATGGGATATGAGTAGATTTTTGAAGGACCATGGGCTGACAAATCCAGCTTGGAATCCCTCTTCCCGAGGCTGTTTTTTGTTACTTGTGCCCATGATGCTTTGGTGTCCCAATCCTTCAATCTCATTGGAGGTCGTATGGTCTGGTCCCCAGGTTCCGGAGGAACCTCTTGGATCATAAATATTGGAGTTCACTAGCTTAATGGGTCTCCTTCAGTCGCAGATACCACCTGGTGTTGCACCCTTCTTTTGGTTCCTTCTATTGGTTCCTAAGTCAGACCCTGTCCCCCCTGTTGTTAGCCAACAAGGCTTGGCTCACCTCTGTACTGTCGAAGATTTGGGCCTTTGATAGGGCTGGTCCTTTTAAAGAGGGTGCTCAAGGGGCTTCCAAGGAGGGGAGTACCAATGCTCAATAGATGTGTTATATGTATGGAGGCTAAAGAGACAATAGACCATCTCTTTTTACACTGCCTGGTGGGTGACAAGATCTGGAAAGCAGTATTGCAGCAATTTGGCATGATCAGGGTGAGCCCTCATTCTATCCAAATACTGTTTTCTTCTTATTTTTCGCCCCCTACCCTTACATGGGCCTCTTCCTATGGAGATCCACTCTGCTGGAAACCCTTTGGACACTTTGGTTTGAGCAAAATGCATTAATCTTTGAGGGCTGTGCTATGAGTTTTAAAAGGATCGAGCATTGAATCCCAGCTTCAGCCACTTTTTAGGCCTGTAATTCCAAGGAGTACGGCACATGGTTGGTGGGAGATTATTTACAATATTGGAGAGCCATTGTATACTCCGGGCCCATGTGTGTCACGAGGTCCAGTTTTTGTGTCCCACCTCCTAATGGAACTATCAAATTAAACTTTGATTTTTGCTCTCTAAGTAATCCTCGTCCAGCAGGCATTGGGAGGTCTATTAGATACAGTTCGGTTTGCCTTTTTCAATCTTTTTCAGTTCCAATTGGTAGGCCAAACCCATAATGGTGGAGGCCCAGGCCTTTTTGGAGGGCCTGAGACTCTTCGATACTATTATGGGCTCAACCTCTTTTTTTGAGGTGATTCACAGAAATTTTCTTTTTTTTTTTTCTTTTGGGAGGTTAATGATTGTATTAAAATTAAGAGACATTACAAGAGAGTGGTAGGTCTTCCCCCAGGTTGGCACCCCATACATTTCCAAGATTTATAGAATGTGATTACTTGAGCTTCAAAAACTTCTCCTTGCCCATGGAGACCTGAAGCCAATTTTTTATCCGCTTTTGATATTATCAGGCCACTTTGTGTTGCTTTTAAGCACGTGTGGAGAGGCACTAACGCAGATGCCCTAGCGAAAGAGGGTATGATGGCCCAAAATCTGGCTGTGGTTACCCCGACTTGTGCTGGGAGTGACCCTTCTCATTTTCTGGCCTCTTCCAGTGTATAATCAGACTTCGATAGGTGTTATTGTAAGGAGCTTGTAAAAATTGTAGACAGTACTTACAGATATGGTAAGTTTCTTCCAAAAAAGTTTAAAATTTTCACTGGAAACAATCCATGGCATCATATTGATGGAATTATCAGGAATCAACCATGAAATACAAGGATTTTGCCATAAAAATGGAAAACAATGTTAAGAACATTCTTATGCACACATATGATAACATCCTGTGACATAGTAACTGGCATGGAAGGGGCAGGAGATCCAAGATTGGGAGCGAGGTAGGCTCGAAGTTCTGTAGTTGGGGGAATGAGGTCCGTACATGGCTAGGGAAAGGAACCGAGATCCTTAACTTTGAGGGAGCACGTTCCATATCTGAAAAGGAGCAGTTTTCTCACTAAATGGGCTCACATTATGTTGTTATTAGGATCGTGGTCCCTAAAGTTTACTTTTCACTTGTATCGTAATTTGGGAGCGATTTCCAATGAACAATATGTTTGACTTTTTCCAAATTTTCAAAATTACCCATTTTGGTCTATTACAAAAATTGCACAGCTACCTACAATAGTATGCCTACGTATTCACACATCTTCATTTTTGGCTTCACTCGGTTGGAATAGACAGCTTCCACTCAAATATCAGTTTATGATTACGTATAAGAATGATGCAATACATTGTTTCTGAAAAAGATATTGTCGTGATAGCTAAGCTCCTTCGTTTCATAACAAGAAAAAGGAAAAGACATTGTTGTATATAATTTCCCAATCAGTGTTTTAGAAAACAGCGGGCGACGCCTAGATGCCCGTGGGGGGGGGGTGGGGGGGGGTCCAGGCCGCCCAGCACCTAGGCAAGGGCCAGAACCTAGGTGGCCTAGGTTCAAAAAGGGGCAAGGAGATTCCAACAATCCTGTTTTAGGTCAGGATTTTATATAGAAAATGCATATTCATTCATTTTTTATAATCCAAACAAAAAAATACCAAAAATACCCCAATTGATAGGTATTTTTGCACCAAGGCGGGTGCAGTCCCCTGGGCGCCTGCCAGGGCGGGGTACTAGGCAGGCGCCCAAGGACATCCCGCTTAGTTGGTTTGCCCAAGCTTGGGCAATATGCTCTGGCCCTCTAGCCCGCCTAGGCGTTAGGTGGACCGCTTTTTGAATCAATGTTCCTAATGGCTCTCCATGTTATTCCATCACCCATAGGGCAACCCCATGAGTGGCTTGAATTGGTTTACCAGCACGTGAGTGATAGAAGTCTTTCGGGAGGTAGACATGACCCAATGAACTAGCCCCAAGGAAGTTAAATGTATTGATCGCGACCTCACTTCTCAATATAACCGCAACGCGACTAACTTTTGTATCTCCTCCCAACTTCTTCCTTTTCTTTCCTTGCCCATTCTTGTTGCCTTTCTTTCAAAGTAGACACAAGTCACATTTCAAAATTTGTGCATAGTTGTGTACCGTAGAGTTTATAGGAAATCATGGCATTCAAAAAGTTTTTAGGTCATAAAAAGTTGGAGATCCACACTCCATTGTATACGAACCACAAAACTTTGCCGGTGAAACTCATTCGCAAAGTGTAGGATAATTGGTTCCAAGTTGGTGGAATTGTGGTTTCACTTGATCATGGAATCATGATTTTAGCATAGGGATATGGATTCCATTTACATGGAATCGAGTTCCCTAATTTCCCAAATTCAGATACCAAATATCAAGGAATTGCCTGGAATCGAGGTCCTGTGTCTCGAAGCATGGGATCGAGCTTCCAGAGCGGAAGTGGACCCCTCCTTAGAAGATCCCGGTAACTAAGTCCTGTGGCATTGTCTACTATTTGCTGTAGTTAGATGCAATTCACTAGAAACCTACAAATCAGTTGGTATGGCTATGTTATAGTGGGAAGGCTGATTCCTTGTAACATATGTGGAGTGTTTTGTTTTATGTCTACTGCTCAGGCTTACAATTATGCAATGTTGACAGAAAAAGAGTTCATCCTTCTATGGGGATCATCTAGCCTTGCTGCATATTCATTGATTTATGAGATTGCAAGCAGCATACCATGTATTTGTCTTTCAACATTACTGAAACCAGTTCTGTGATACATGCTGCATTGACACATATGAATGGGAAAAGTAAATTATGTAAAAAATACATATAGATGGGATAAGTTTGTTTCACATTTACATATGTCAAAAGTAGGGTATATGATAATTGCAGTCAAACAAGGTTTCCTTCTTTGTGTTTACTCTCCACATCTGCTGCCTGGATATGGTTGCATATGTTTCAAGTTCCATTCGAATTTATGTGAAATAGCAAGTCAAATAAAATGACAATCAGGTTTTCTGCCATCTGTTGGAAGCATATGCTAATTTAATTAAGAATGTAAACCTGTCATTGGAATTGCAAATGGCTAAGACTTGCCTACCTATATCTCTGCAGCCAAATGTTAGTTCTGATGAGAACACATGGAGATCCCAACAATCCCCAATTTCGAAATTCTCTCAGTGGTTTCTTCAAGATGGTAATCTTGATAACTTCTCAAATCAGAATAGGTTATAAGGTTTTGTAACATGGGAAAGTACACTCTTATCCATTTTCCATTGGGATCATAAGCATCCAAGGAAATGATGGGTGGTGATGGATTTAGAGTAACCCATCCAAACAAGGCGTGACCATATGTGGGTTCCATTCTCTCTCCATCACTCTTATCATTTCCTTGGATCATGATGAGTGGACTATGGTTTCCCATAGTCAGTTGGAATATAGTGTACTTTTGTCCTTTTTTCTAATTGGCAACTGAAATTTATTTTTATGTGAAAGAAAATATGTATAAAAATGGTCCTTAAACTTCATGTAGAAACGAACCTTGGATACAAATGTAGGGTATAGAATGGAGATACCAGCAAGTAAGGAAGGGGAGACAAATAAAACATGTCTCATACTCTCTCCCTTGCTGATGAATCTATTAGGGAGTTGTTCTTCTTTCCAAGTATGCACAAGCAACATTTCGCTTTCCACTCATTCTACTTAAAGGAACTTGGTTTCATGATTTACCTTGCAGAGAAGATACCAGATGACACCTCATCCTCCAAAAGCACAGACCTGCTATCACTCTTTGTGAATAATGAGAAGGGCGTATCCTCACTAATCCCTTTGACGTCTCAGGAGAGCGCTGTTGAAAATGTGCCTTCCGTTTTGCCTCTTGAAAAGATCGAAAATGCCTCTGCTGTGGCACCCTTTGCAAATCTTCATATAAATGATTCCCCTCTTGAACTGTTAAAGCCAGACATACCCCCACGAGTTCTCACCTGTGAAGACCTTGAACAGTCGATCTTGGCTGAGGTGAAGGAAACCAATAGTGACATTACCTTTGATCTAAGACCTGAGCAAAAACCAGCTGATGTTGACAATACAGCTTCTCAGCATCTCCTTTCTTTGTTGCACAAGGGCATGGGCCAGGGGTTGCCTCCTGACCCAGAAATGGGGTCGTCTAAAACCCTCGTTTCTGAGATGCAAAGCCCCAGCGGGATAGGCGTTGAAAGTGATCGTAGCTCCGAGAAAACCCTAACTCTGGAAACACTGTTTGGTACAGCATTTATGAAGGAGCTGCACTCTGTAGAGGCTCCAGTCTCTTTGCAAAGGAGCCTAGGAGGTGGGGTACCACCATTCCCAATTAAAGATGATGGGTTTGGCCATACTTTGATTGGTGAACCTGGGTCTAGTTCTCCTGTGGCTCTCCACACTCAAGAACGTAAACCTGATAAAATCCATGGAAATTGGGTTGATGTCTCTGAGATTGAAGGCTCAAAGGGCCTCAATATAGGCATTGGGGAGATCCAGTTACCGGAAGAAGAGAGCTTGATAACTCTTACTGAACCTGAGAGAATCGAGACCTTCAAGAATATATCCAAAGCTGGACCACTAGTGAACTCCATCAACCATGACCTCTTTTTGTCTGTTGGTGATGAGATGGCTTCCCTGGATGCCCTTCTGAAGGGCCAACACATGAGGGTGGGTGTTAACAATTTTGGAGAAGGCATAGATCACCATCCATTTAGAGAGATATTAGGGGGTGGTGGCCCTCACATTCCTGCCCAATCTGAACCTCCATATCATCATCAGCATTTGCTTGGGATGCAGCAGTCCTCTCCACAACTACTACACTACCAGCGTCAACAACAGTCTATGCCATTGCCACCTGATTTTCACCTCAATATGATGCAGCAGCAGCGTCGTCAAATGGATCAGCATCAACATCATCACAGAGGTGGTCATGGCCCTGAGCTTTTTCTTCCTCCACCTAACATGCTCCATGACCCATTCCATGCTGGAGGCGGGCCGAGGTTTGATCATCCTATGCATCATCATCAACAACGTCATCATCATCATCTGATGCAGCAGCAAGTCATGCAGAACAATTTCCACCAGACCCCAGTTCAGGGGATTCCACCGCTTCACTTGGGTGGGACCCCTTTTAATCACATGGGTGGTTTCTTGCCTGAGGGTCCACTGATGCAAGGGTTCCCCATCCACCATAGGTCCCCACCAAACCATGGTACGCACGGCATGTCGATTCCAGGTGAATCCCTTTTCATTGTTTTCCTAATGCTTTTTTTTTTACTTGTCTATCTAGTTAATTTGATGTTGGATCAATTTGATTTCCATGCTTTGCCTATGGGGGAAGTTAATGTACCATGGAGAAACCTTAGTTGGAAACCCAGAAAAGCAGATTGGGAAAAGCATAGTCTTGTGGTCTTTACTATACAATGAAATGATGGATATTGGTGGAGTGGAACCCACCAGAACAAGACATGAAGAATTCTGGGCCACTTTCTCTTTCCATAATCTATCATTTCGAAGTACATCTCTCATTTTATGGGATGGTGATGGTCCTATGGACCAGGGTTTCTCCATAGTCCATTGCGATAGTATACTCGCTTGTTCTTTTGTCGATTTGTGATTTTGGTTGGCCTCGTACTTGTTGGGACTGCAGGAGCTGGGGTTAACCACCCTGAGGCGCTTGAGAGGCTTATTGAGATGGAAATGCGGGTGAACTCGAGCAAAAATATGCATGTCAATCAGAACCCTGGGTTATATGGGCCTACTGAATTGGACTTAGGGTTTGGGCTTGGATGACGAAAGCTCATTTGACTGCTGGGATTTGGCGTTTCAGGTTTGGTTTTTCTGAGCCGTTATTTACAGAGATGCGGATTTGTTGCTTGGGGGGTTGGTTTGTATTTGTGATGTATCATAGATGGTAGATTTGGTTTGGGTGAACTGAGTTTATTGTCAGTTGTTGTACACAAAATTGCAAAGGAATCTAAAGAAATACATTTGGCAGTTGAGAGAGAGAGAGAGAGAGAGAGAGAGAGAGTCTTAAGCTGCTTGTTATCTGTTAGAATATACCTTTCGCTAGTGTGCAGGATATCGTGGACCCTGGGGATTGCTAATGATAAAAGAATGCATATCAACTGTAATGGGAACTGCAGTCAATCTCAATAGCTTCCAAGAGATGGGGTGTCCTATGGTTCATCTTGTAGCTAACCATGCACGTCATTTTATTCCAGGGTTTTCGGTTGGGTAGCTTATGCATGCTCTCCCATGAATTTAATGTTTGCACCAACTGGTAGATTGTACTCCGCCTTTCTAGCAGAGGGAATTTTACAGAGTGTATGCTTATGGTCAATGAAAAAGTTGGCCCCAAGTTTCTATCATTGTTTGCAATGGTAAAACCTAGGTGTAGCATCTCCTCTAGATGTGCAATTTTAACAAAGGATGGATAGGATGTATCATTCAAGTCTAGGTAAAGCTTATGGCTGGGCTTTGAGCAGAGGAATGACAACTTGATGTCCTTTGTTGATATGAACGGTTGCAGGGCGTCGGTGAACCAAAAGAAGCTTGGAAGGCTACTATACTATACCTCCTTTTATTTATTTATTTAAGATTTCTAGTATATGTCAACGTAAAACATTAGGGAAATATTTTTGGTTATTGCTTTATATTTCGATATTTTGAACCTCAAATTTTCTCCAAGGCATGTTTGATTGTGTGGATCCTAAGTCCCTTGGGATATTGGGAACCCTTGAGGCTGGGAAATTGAGAAACTGGAAACCTTTATTTGGTAATTCATGCTAATTCAAACCTGCATGATCAATTCTAAGATTCAATGTACACAAAGTCCACTACATGTTCATACACCCTGTCTTACATTGCCTAAGACCTTGACATAAGCTCATACCTGGGCAGCTACACAATTCAACTGCCCACGTGTGACCATCACAATCAATACATTTGCACACCAAGGTGTATGGTTAACTCACCTCTTGCATATGTCTGCTCAGGTTGAACTGTCTATGCTCCAACCAACCAAGTCTCTGCGTGAGGTTAGCCTTAGCTGTCCATCCCCACCATCTTGCCCAAGGTCTTGCACTAAGGTCTTTGTTTGGTAGCCCCCATGTGTGTGCATCATGCATCAATACTGCATAAGACTCCCTTCTTACCAGGTCATGACTAAGGGTTTCTCCTCCCTCATGTTGCTTGGTCTGAAAAACTTGCTTGCTAGAAAAGATTGCTAATTCCACTAAAGTAGCACAAGTCCACTCAAGATTTTTGTGATCTGTTTTGTTGCTAAGGGGATTTGCATGCGTGATGCTAAGAGTAGGGGTGTGACAAGCGTTCCCCACCTGTCCTTGTTGGACACTGTCATACATAGGTTCACATAAACCATGCCTTTGGCCCAAGGCTCATGCTTGCCTAGACAAATCCTCTTTCTTGTACTTGCCCAAGTACATTGTTGCCACCAAGTTTCTGGCCACCTGTCCTTGTTGGACACTGTAATACATAGGTCCACATAAACCATGCCTTTGGTCCAAGGCTCATGCTTGCCTAGACAAATCCTCTTTCTTGTACTTGCCCAAGTACATTGTTGCCACCAAGTTTCTGGCTACACAGTCTGGTCGTCATGTTGCCACCATGTGTCCATTTGGGTTTGTGGCGATGCTCACTACTGCTATTACGATCAATGTTACCTCTTGTGGCCCTCTAAGAGGAAGGCCTTGCACTTGCCTTACCATAGGTCGAGTGATACCTAGGGTACTATTGTTGGTTGCCAAATGGCCTCTTCTTCAGCCCACTTAGGCCAGGTAGATGTTGTGCAGGTCGACTGGGCACTACAATTTTAAGGTCCAACATTTAGGGCTTTAGTGTCATTTTTGGGCCTCGATTGATCAAAGAAAATTGATGATGCAGGTTTGTAGCTCATAAGGTTTACGCCATCTTTTGTGGAAAGGGGTTAAAATAGCGATTTCAACATCAAAGAGAAAAGTTATGCCTACGCTTGTTCTTAGGAATCCTAATGAATTTGTTGAGCCATTGAAGCTAGGCTTGTTAGCCCCTGCAAAATGATTTCAACATTAGAGCGAAATATTATGTCTACGTGAAGTCAAGCTATCATTTCAGGGTTATTTTTAGGATGAGTTTTTCTTATTTGCTTGTCTGGGTAAAAGTGTCAAATTCGGATTATACTTTAATAATAAGTGCTATTTATATTAGAAATAGAATGGGGGTCCAATAAAGTCTATAAATAGTTGTTGGTTTAATGTTTTCCATCAAGAGTTGACTATTGTATTTCAAAACATTATTTCTAGGAGTTTTAGTGAATTTGCAGAGCCATTGAAGCTAGGTTTGTTACTTCCCCTTTTAGTTAGTTTTTGTGTACTTGAATTTGCATCATCGGATATCATAGTTGGTCGTCTCCCGAAGCACCCTAAGATCCGCTGTAAGCTTGTGTTACTGTAGCTAAAGGAGCTTGAGGTTGCACCTTTGGTGCTTGTTCGGAACAAAGATAGGAAGACTTGGATGACGCAAGGAGATTCAAGAAAATTGCCGCAAGAAGTGTTTCACGTCCACTCTGAAGGGGTTTGTGACAGTTAGGGGTTTGATGCTGAAGAGGTGAACCTGTTCCATAACCTTGGAAGACAAAATACCATGTTAGAAAATTAGTTGTTTCATTCCTTAAATGGATCGAATCATGGTATTTGGGTTGATGTTCATGAAATTTCTGGACGATTTCAACCCATTAACTTCTTGGATTGGACACTTAGTGTTGAGACCTTTGAAAGGATTATCGAAGGTGAAGTTCATGGCGACTCGATTGATGCATCACGCCCCAATTTGGTGGCAGTAGTTGTAGTTAGGCGGAGTTTGATATGGAAAGGATAAAATTGCAGCTTGGAGGAAGATGAATTTGTGCATCACTCTGGAGTTGTATTTAAATGTGTGCCTAAAGTGGGGCACATTCATGTGCCGAATTGAGACAAGGATTGGCGGAGAGAGAATGAAAAATAAAAAACTCAAATCTAAGAGAGAGACCCAATCCAATCTTCAAAAGATAATCCAATATTCAAAGGATAAAGAGAGTAGAAGAAAGAAGAAAAGAACCCCAATCCAAGAGAGATAGAGAGAGATAGAGATTGTGAGTGAGTAAAAAAGAGAAACCCAATCTAAAAGCGGTAGAGTTTGTGCTAGAGAAAGAGAGACTGAAAAGAATAACTCAATCTAAGATATAAAGGGGGGAGAGAGTTTGTGCCAGAGAAAGAGAGAGACTGAAAAAGAATAACTCAATCTAAGAAATAGAGGGGTGGAGAGAGTGTGCCTATGAGTGAGAGTGAAAAAAAAGTAATCCAATAAAAAATAGAGAGATATGAAAAAATAAAAATCGTCCAATATCTCTTTATCTCTTTTTCTATTACGTTTGATTTCATTCAATTTTACTTGCTTTCTAGCATTTAGTTGTGGAATCCATTTGCGCTTGAACTTTTTTTTTTTTTTCCGTATTATCTAAATATCTTTTCTTTTCACAATTCCATTTATTAAAAGATGGGGTGCCAACGTGAAAAATTAATCTTTTTTATGTTGAAAATTTTAATTTTTTTCGTTTATCAATCGCATTTAAAGATTTTTTATATTGGGTCCAATAAGTCAATTTGATATTAGGTTTAATAAGCCAATTCATCGACAAGAAAAATAAACATTTTTCATATGGTCTAATGAGCCAATCTGCAATAAAATATTTGGTCACATTTCACATATCAGGAGATAGAAGGGAATACCGCTCATGAAAGCGAGCTTGTTTATACCGATACCGCCCATGAAAGCCAGCTTGTTTATTGATAAATTCCTGCAAAAACATGAAATTACACAATACCGCAAGCTTGTTTATTGATACCAATAATTGATGATTGAGGCCTTGAATGATTCTCACTACCTCTTAGAGAAAAGCCCAATTCAAATATTTAATTTTTCAAATTTCCCGTTTAATTATAAAATTTAAAACTTCAAAAATAATTTAAATCAAGTAGATCTATAAATATACGAAAATCTTAAAAATGGATAGTCTAGATAATGTATTGTAAGACACATTATTCCTGGGACCCAAAATCTTTTTTTTTTTTGTTCATATTCATACATTAATTCGAGAACTTTTCAACATCAAAACAACCATTTCCAATGTAATTTTTTGGTCTATCTTTATTTTTACATTTTAAGGTTGCAAGGTTATATAAAATTTTCCTTATTTACGTAAATATCCATTTTATTTTCCGTTAGTACTAAAATACTAAAAACTTTTTTATATTACTCATATGTCCGTTTTTTGGACTTCATAACCATGTTTTAAAACAAGATCGAATTGCCCAATTCGGTTTTTCAAAAGTCAAAATGGCCCAAATTCCATTTTTGAAAAACCCAATATGAGGCCCTGAATTCTCTACGCGTTTCTCTCTCTTCACGGTTCACACAACAGGACGTTCTCTCTATCTACTTCCAATTTATCTTTCGATGGTAGTTCGATATCGAACTCCAAATTTACTGGATTTGCATTATGCAATCTCTCTCTAAATTCATCGTGCGTGGTTCGAAGCGTGAAATCTTTAGCAATTCTTATCAAAAGGCCTGCTTTTCCCGACCCTTACCAAATTAGTATTCAATCAAATTTTCCACATTTTTATTTCATGAATTTGAGTGTCAATTAACAGATTTGGTAAAAGGGAATTCAAAAGGTCAGATCTTTCTCAAGCATGGAAAAGGCCCTGAAGCTCATTTCAGTGATCAGATAATATGATGTTTCAAGTATTGGCAATTCTTCTTAGAGAGAGACGTTGATGAATTCACCAGGTGACAATGGAAAGTGACAAGGTAGAGGGGTACTGTGATGGCCACTAAGGTGGTAGGAGCTTGCCGTTTATACAAATGGTTGTGATGCTCAATGATTAAGTTCAAATGCAACAAAATGATGCAAGTTTGCAGGTCTTCTCTGTGGTGATACTTGGATCAGGCCATTTTAGGGGTAAGGTTTATCAGAGTTGCTAGGGTCGATGGCGAACTAGATGGTTATATCGGTAAACCTCGGAAGAGAGAAGAGGTAGAGAATAAAAAGAGAACCTCCAAACCAGTGTAACGACTGTTGTGTATTTTCTGGTCTCTATGGAGTGGACACCCACCATGAAGGCAGTGGATATTAGGCTTTTTATGTGGGCTTCTTTGTGTTTTGAGCATTTCATATCAGCTTGAGAGAGAGATCTAGCTGGGCATGTTTGGGTTTTGAACAATTAATCTTTAGAGAGAGGCTTTTAGTTGGGCGAGTTTTGAACATTGTGAGAGAGACCCATGATCACTAGAAACTAAAAAGGCTCACTGAGAAAGAAGGGGAGAGAGAGGGAGAAAGAATCATCAAGGAGGAAACGGATAGAGAAAGAATACAATTGGGGTACAAAGGATCGCTAAAACCACATATGTGAGCTGCTATGTTGAAAACCAAAACCCCAAAATCAAGGATGAAACGCGAGAGAATGTGGAAACTTAGGTAATTCGGTTGTTTTTAAAAAATAATAATTATGAAGTCCAAAAAAAGCGGACATATGAATAATAATGAAAAGTTTTAAATATTTTGGTAATAACAGAAAATAAAAAGGATAATCATGTAATTTTCCCAATGTAAAATTGTATCATTTTTGTATTAGAAATATCACACCAATTCTAAGAAAAATAAATACTTATTTCCACTACCACCTCACATAACACAACATTCTTCACACCAATTTAAAAAAAAAAGAGATACGCATTTGCACTACCACCTCACATAACGCCAACATTCTTGTAGAAGTGTTACACTGTGCTTCACAACCAAAAGAGTTTATAGTTTTCTAAGAAGTTAGTGAATATGAACCAAGCGAAGAGGCAGAAAGAGGTGAACCTCTTTGGCCTACTGGAGTGCCTTATCCCTGTAGTTGGTATCCCTATAGTTGAGGGTTAGGATAGGTTTCAGGGAATTCAGCAGATGCAGCAAGATGGGAGGATGATGAGATGATTAGGATAGGTTTCAGTAAATTCAGCAGATGCAGCAAGATTGGAGGATGATGAGATGAATTCTAGGGTTTAACAGGTGAAATCTAGGGCTTAAAGTTAATTTTGAACATCTCGAGATTACGGTTTTGAGCATGTTATATAGGATTTGGAAAGATTTGTTGGTTTTATAGAAGGCTTGATTGAGTGACGTAAGGTGAAATCAGCCAAATAAGCACGGAATGAAGGCTACAATTTGTTGGGCGGCCTCTGCCAATTTTAAGCTAAATGGAGAGAAATTGAAAAATCTTTCGTCTAGGTCAAGAAATCACTATTCCGGAGATCACTTCCTCATAGGAGACCCAGCCCATTCAAATCAAAATAGAACGAGCACTTACGACTAGGGGAAATGGAATGCCAACCACAGGGTGAGATGATCAGTGAATACGCGGGGCAAGTGACTAGTCAAAGAATGAAACTTAATCATTTTTTCTACTAGACAACAAGGGTTTATGTGTTTGAATGACTGTTACAAGCTACTTCAACAAAAAAAAACTACCGAAAAAAATTGTTAAATCTCTACTCGAATTTAAATTTCAGATCAATTGGCAAGAGAACTACATGGGTAGTTACATAGAGATTTTAAGTCTCAAAAATAGTGCATTTTGCACCATATCATCTACACCGTCCAATTTCAAGATTGTCATATATTTAACCATTTTTTAAATTTAAAATTTTATAATTAGATATAAAAATAGATTTTGAGATAATCCTAAGAACTTTTTACATCAAAATTATATACCATGATAAAATTTGAAAGTACACCTTACCTCTATTGCTACTGAAGCATCTGTATGCCAACTGCACCCATAAAAAAAAACCCTCTCTCGTTTTTTTTTTTTTGGGTAATTCAGTGATGATGACAGGTACCCGTTGTTTTAGCAGCTTAGGAGTTAGCTTTTTAGGTGAGAATGGAAACCATAACATAATGACAAGGTTTGAGGTACTACCAACACGACCCCAACCCCTTTACACCGTCCAATTTCAAGATTGTCATATATTTAACCATTTTTTAAATTTAAAATTTTATAATTAGATATAAAAATAGATTTTGAGATAATCCTAAGAACTTTTTACATCAAAATTATATACCATGATAAAATTTGAAAGTACACCTTACCTCTATAGCTACTGAAGCATCTGTATGCCAACTGCACCCATAAAAAAAAACCCTCTCTCGTTTTTTTTTTTTTGGGTAATTCAGTGATGATGACAGGTACCCGTTGTTTTAGCAGCTTAGGAGTTAGCTTTTTAGGTGAGAATGGAAACCATAACATAATGACAAGGTTTGAGGTACTACCAACACGACCCCAACCCCTTTCTCTCTCTTGTGCATCACACAAGGTACATAGCCCATAATATAATACTAAAAACAGGTTGAAGGGGGAACCCGAGATAGAAATAGAATTCAGCATTCATAGTTTTTAGAAAGCCTGTGAGGTAGAAATATTTACATGTACCTTGAAAGGCAATCATGTACAACACAAAAAAATTTTGTGAGAATATAACAAATATGAAAGTGTATATTACATCATATAATATATCGGTCATATGATCTATCGAAAAGTTTTGACAATGTAAATTGTATATAAGTTGTAATTTTTTACTATAGTATTACCACTAGTATATATATATATATATATAGAGTAATTAATGAACCTTGTGTATAGGGCACAATTTTTTTCTTTCAAGAAGTTCCTCATCAATCCCTTTCTCCCTCTAAAATTTTATATGCTATGAGAGCATCACCGATTGTTGTATCTCGGCTTTCCACCTTTAAGCCGTACCTCTACACTAAGTGAGTCCTCTCTATGCATTTATCTCTTTCTCCATACACACTCTCTATACATGTACTTGGGAAAAGTTTATATAAAGCCGAGGCTCTAAACAATCAAAATAGAGCCTACCTCAAATTTTTCACTAGAAAAGGTTGTTTTGATGCTGAAATATTCCCAAATTGATCATCTCGACATCAAGATGCATGGACATGAAAAAAAAATGGATTTCAAATTTTGGAAATAGTATATTTTATAATGCATTTTTAGACCGTCAATTTTCAAGATTTTCAAGTTTTCACATATCTGTTTATCTACACTTTTTTGAAGCTTTTAACTTTACAAATAGAGATGAAAATATATTTTAAAGCTATCACAAATATTTCCAATATTGAAACCACATTTCTCGACAATATTTAAAGATAAGCTCTAATTTGATTGTTTAGAACCTAGTCTCTATACAAACTGCACCCGCACTAATTTCACTTTTGTTTCAATCAATCAATGATCGTCAACCAAACCGCCTCTCTTCCACATCCATTAAACTCTTTCATTCATTTTCACCATTATTTATTATCTTTATCGAACTCCATCACTATTAATTGGTCAACCACGTCTCTTTCATTTCTCCATTATACTATCTTTCACTATTAATTGGTCAACCACGTCTCTTTCATTTCTCCATTATACTATCTTTATCGAACTCCATCACTATTAGTTGGTCAACCATGTCTCTTTAAGAAAATTTTGTGGTCTTATCCAACTCCATCCTCTAATCTTCAAAGCCTTCTCATTTTTTTTTATTTTTTTATTTTTTTATTTAATCACTTCATCATTTTCACACGACCCATCCAAACGTCAAATACCTCTCCTCCAATGGACACTTCATCCTTAATGGCTAAGGACCCCTCTCCCTCCGCCCTTAATGTAGGAAACTTTGTGTCGATCAAATTAACACAAAACAACTATATGTTATGGGAAATCCAATGTGTTGTCGTTAATTGAGAATTGAGAAATTTTTGGATTTATCAATAATATTTGCCTTATGCCTAGTTAAAAGATTTCTTCTCGTGATGAAATCAAAAATCCAAACTATAAGTCATGGTTAAAGTCTGATAGGCTTCTTAAAGCTTGGATCGGATCGCATGGACCTTGTCAGGAGAGTGTCTCGGTCTTGTTGTTGGCCTCAAGACTTTCATAGATCTATGCAGGCACTTTTCAATCCAAGGAGTTCCAACTTCCCATCAATTCCAACTCTACAAGAAAGGGAATTCTATCTTATCAAAATACATTTGCATATTCAAAGATATCTATGATGATTTAGTAAGTGTTAACAAACCCATACCATATGAGAAATAAATTATGTTGGCTTCTTAATAACTTAAACCCTACTATGATAGCTTTACTACCACTATGCTCAAGCCACAAATCCCTTCTTATTATAATATTATACCGCTTCTTTTTAGCAATAAGATTAGCAATCCGCCCCATGCTTTGAAGAACACTCGTATCTAAATTAAAATATAGCCTTTGTTCAGCAACAAAAAATATTTTAGAGCCAACAGAGGTCACTGGAATTACAAAAGTACAGTACAAAAGTACAGGAAGGCACAACTTTGGTGGTCAACAATATTTCAACTCTCAAGAATATGCATTTATTCAAAACAGCTAGATTAGTAATGCGGGATGTGGGGTTGGCTTAGACAAACCAAAAAAACGATTGTACACGTCCTGTGCAATACATGAATTAAGGCTTCCAATAAGATTCCCATATATAACAATTAACTCAAACACCACAAGATAAGTATCAAATCCGTGAAAGTTTGGACATATTGCATTGAAATATTGATATTGGTTCAACCACATGTACCAAGTAGAAGATATTTCTCAGGCTCTTCTTGCAGTGATTACAGCTGATTCACAAAACTACGAAAATTTCCTGGAGTACATTTTCATATTTTCCTTGAGAACATAACTCTCATATGTCTGTCCAGATCATTCTCTAAGGAACTTTTTCACGAGATACAGTGAGAATTTACAATTAGTCACTTCCACCTTGATTGGCGGCTTTTGTTAGTCTACAAAGCAAAAGGACCAAATCTTTAGCAGTGATTTTTCCAATAGAAGGGCTTCCACTCTTTCACTTCTGGTGCTCTCCATTGGACAGTAGGGTAAGGATACCATCTATTCCCCGAATTTGCTTAACCTCGACCTTTCAGCATTATAGGTTGTCCAGGGTAGAGCATGATATTTCCCATTTTGAATCTAATTCCTAAGGGAAGAATGTCACTCTTATCCAGCCTTTGCTCCGTCTTTCTTGGTGTTCCAGATTTCTAGGTAGCCAAGGTTGAGGGACATGTACGGAATAGTTAACTCAGAGATGGGTTCAGTGGTACCAAGAAAATGTGTTTCCCTTCTCCCAAGGTTCCCAAGGTCTGGTCACTTTCATTTGAAGAGTTTGGTAAAAGCTTTAGAAATATGATGAGACGTTGGAGAGAAAGGGTATTAATTGCAATTAAGTATTTAAGATGCTTCTGGGAAGATATAATGTATTGAGATGCATTAATTCTTCCCATATAAGCGTGTAGATTACAAGCATACTAATAACCAATATTATCAAGACTGGACTGCCATCGACGTAGTGGAGGCACTGTTTCTCTACTGGATGAGATGTTCACCAATCAGAGCCGTGAAATTTAATTAAAATAAAAAAGGAAGAATACAAATATGTAAAGAAAACAATGGAGAAAAAGGAAATACAAAAAAATTGAATCAATAGAACAATTTCCATAGTTCAAATAGATTATTTGAATAATTAACCAAAACAATCGATTATTTATATCAGTATCAAATTATCAATACAAAGAAAAACTCAAAATACTAAAAATTTCCATGATTCAACATTTTCCAGACATGCATTTCCCATAATTCCATAAAAAATGCACAAATCCTAGTTATGGAACATTCCATATTTCAGCATTTCCCATTATTCCATTGACGTAGTAAACAACCAAAAAATATCTCAATGCAAAATTACCTCAATCAATGATCTCTCCCACAGTATAAATTACTTGCAAAAAATTACCTCAATCAGTGATCCTGCCCATCAAAGCAAATTACTCGAACCAAGAGTTTTCATGAGATTCCTCTCTTCCATAGACCTCCTCACTTTCTCAGCATCACTCCATCTCCCAGCCCCTGCATAGATGTTAGAGAGAAGCACATAGTCCCCTCCAAACTCTCTCTCTAGCTCCACCACCCTCTCCATAACACGCTCCGCCAAACCGACTGCACCATGAACACAACAAGCTCCAAGTAAAGTCCTCCAAACCACCACATTACCATCTAATAATGAGTTCTCTCTTTCTAACATCTTCTCGGCTTCCTCTAATAAACCAGCTCTCCCTAACATATCGATCATGCATCCATAATGCTTGACACCTGGTACAATCCCATAGTCCTCTACCATAGCGGTAAAATACTCCTGGCCTTCTTTTATGAGCCCTGCATGACTACAAGCATGCAACAACCCAAGAAATGCGATCCCATTTGCCCTCACTCCCACCCCCTCCATCTCTTTGAAAACCCGAATTGCCTCTTTGGCATGGCCATGCATTGCATATGCCGATATCATGCAGGTCCATGAAACCACGCTTTTTTCTTGGATTTCATCGAACACATTTCCCATGTTTGCTATGCTCCCACATTTTGCATACATGTCAATGAGCGCGTTGCTCACTGGCACAAATGAATGAAAACCCATCTTTCGGGCAAAGGCATGGATGGAGTCCCCAATATGGGAAGCACCGAGACCATGTTGCAAGGCTGGGAGAATACTGAGTATAGTGATCTCATTGGGTTTGTTCTCATTCTCCTCCATCAGCATAAAGCGGAAAAGAGCGAAGGCCTCTCTTGTTCTGTTGTTTGTGATATACCCATCAATCATCGCGCTCCAAGAAACCACACTCCGTTTCATCATCTCATCGAACAGCTTGCGGGCATCATCGATCTTGCCATGCTTTCCATAACCAGTGATCATGGCATTGCATATGACCACATTCTTCTTAGGCATTTCATTGAAGACTTTGCAAGCATCAGATAGGCACCCACTTGTTGAATATACAACAAGGAGAGAAGTACGTACATAAATTTGGGAATGGAAACCAGTCTTAATAATGTGGCAATGGATCTCCCCCTTTTTATCTCTTAGGGAGGGATCTGTGCATGCCTTTAAAAGAAATGAATACGTGAAGCGATCCCTGTGGGGGCAACTTAAATTCTGCATTTGTTTGTATATAATAAGAGCTGCTTGTGGAGTGTTGCTCCTTGCATAGGCTCCGAGCAAAGAGTTCCAAATTATTGCATCCAATCTCGACTCCGAAATGCTCATAATCAACTGAGAATGGACTTGTCTAATTTGATCTGTGCAGAGACATCCATTCAAGAGAGAGAAGAGCCTCTCTCTCTCCAAACTTGGAATTTTAGTGTCGACCGATTCTTGCTTTCTCCATTTCGAAGCCGAGTAGTGAGAGATAGATTTAGTTACCCAAGTGTTGAGGATTGAGAGCTTTAAATTGGACTTACCCGTTGAATAAGAATGTAGTTTTTGCAATCCCTTGTATATCATCAGTATGTATGATGTTCTTCCCTCTACTTAACCTCTCAATTTTCAATCAGCCATTCATCTCAATCTGACTGCACCCAGGAGGATTAGAACCCCCATCTCAACCATCATTTTTCTCACCCTCTCAACATCATCCCACCTGTGGGCCTCTGCATTTATATACATATTGCTACATGCTATTCAAATTCAGTTCAAAACATTCAACCATAATTAATTGCAACTATCATAACTTTACCTTTCAATAGAAATACGAAGCTTTCAACATACCATGATTATATCCACCCCCAAAACGCACTACAAAGTTGCAAAGTTCAGCATTAGGCTATTCGAAGCACTTTTTTAAATGATAAACTAAGACAATACAGATTGGCTATTACAAAGGGTAACACTGTAGATTCTGCAGCTATTCTTTTTCTTTACAACGCTGCTTTTAATCCATGTTTCTAATTAAAATATTCAAAATGTTTTTTGGCTTCATTGCTAGCTGATCTGTGTTGTTTCTTAAAACTTTCATAGTGTTTCTTGGCCAGCTTTGAAAGTGGGAAAACCCTTGATTCGTAGTAATATCCACCTACAAAATTCTAACTCTCTTCCCAAAATGTGTACATTTGGAGACACAACATAGTTAACTTAAAATGTTATATTGGGTGTGATGTACTATCAAGTTCAAATAGAGGCATAGGGTCAAATCAAACCAAGTCCAATCTATCCACCTAGAATGTCCTTCTCTTGGGTAATAACGATTACAACACTAGAAAGGGATGCATATAATTGTCATTTTGCACTAATTACTAAAAGGGACTCATGGGTTCTTGTTAATGTCAAGGCCATCATTGTTTCTAGGTTCAATCTAAACAACATCCAGTTCTTGCCTTCCAATATGAACAGTAATCATAAGGTAAGAACCATAACTTGGGTTTTATTCACCTACGAATAATGACCACAAATTTTACCAACTATCAATACTGAATTCATGCACAAATATTAACCAATCCGGTTTCTTCCACAAACTATAAACAATAAGGATTTCAGTTTCATCAATTTAAGCTCAAGACAACAAATTATAAAAGGAATTCTTGTAAGATAAAAGGGTGTATTGATAAAAGCATAATAACAAGTTCTGAGTCTTTTCCACATACTCAAAAAACTAAATTCACTCCAAATGGACATGAATTTTGGCTCATTCCACATGCTGGAAACCAGGAAAATACGAGTGACTTAATAGCAAAGGAAGATCACTCACGTGTTTATTGAACTGACAACGCACCCTGTTGTAGTTTATTCCTTACACAATATAAGCTCAAATACTAAAGTAACAACCAAAAACCAGAGAAATTACAAAACCATTTTAGTCAGGGAAATTTATGGACATGATAATAACAACAAATTCCAGGTAGTTTTCACAAAACAACAACTGAATTCAGTCATACATAATGATAAATTCTGAGTTACTTCCACATACTCTAAACAATAAATTACAGTGACTTTTTTTTTTTTAGTAACGTTAACTTTATTTTAATATAGTATAAATGTACAAAAAACCAAAGTAAGTGGTCTAGGCAGCCCACAAGTGGGTGCACAAAGTACAAAAGAGGTAGGGGACAAGAAAATAAAGAAATACAAAAAACAAAAAGCCATAAAACAAAACAGGCCATGACAGGGAAAAGACAGAGGGGAATGGCGCCAGAGTGCACCTTCGCGCAGAACTAGAGAGAAGGGTAACAAAGAAAAGATAAAGGGGAGAGGCACGAGAGGAAGGAGAGCGAGAGAGGAAAGGAGAGAGGAAAATGGCTCTGAAGACAACTCCGTTGTCCAAAGCCATAGGACTATGTGCCAGCAAGGAAAAATTCGAGCGTGCTTCCTGCTTGCGCTTCTGACAGAGGTACATGCTGGATCACCTGCCTGGGAATTGGGAAAAACGAAGAAGAGGAGAGGGTAAAGAGAGAGCACAGGGTAGGAAGGTAGAAAGAAAGAGGAAGAAAATAATGGGGGAGAGAGAATGCCGAAAGCAGAGATGAGAGAGAGAGAGAGTGAAACATGGGAAAATAGAGAGAGAGAGAGAGAATACAAAGAAGGAAAGGGAAGGGAGTGAAGCGACAACGAAAGAAGAGACATAAATGCTTCCTGACCGGGAGGAAGAGGGCAAGAAAACGTTGAAAGAATGAGAAGCAAAAGAAGAGGAGAAGATATACGGAAGAAGAAGAAATGTCAGTAGGCAGGATAAAAATATATATATATTTTTTCTCTTTGATTTTCTTTAAATTACAGTGACTTTCGACATCAAAATATGATCACCCATCTATTTATACCATTGATGTAATTGAAAAACATGCTTGGATTTTCCCCTTTCATATATGTAAGCTCAAGCCATGGAGAATCAAGCAGAAATGCAGAGAAATTGCATGAAAAAAAAAAGAATCGAGAGGAGAGAGCACCTCAAGAACTCAAAATCCATCTTTGTACACCACAAACTTCCTTTTTCATTCTCGTCAATAAAATCCCAAAATTTTATCCATCAAAAGCACCTTCTCATGTTAATAAATAAACAAACAATATCCCAGTAATGCATACCAAAGAATGCAACAAATTAGAACCCACCTAAAAAATTTACAGTAACAGAAAATGGAAGCAGAAAAAGGAAAAAGAAAAAAAAAAACAAGAAATGGTTGATCATACTCGATAGAACCTGGCGAACAGTTATAGTTTATCCATCAAAAGCACCTCCCCATATTAATAAATAAACAAAAAATATCCCAATAATGGATACCAAAGAACGCCACAAATGAACCCCAAATTAAAATGCACCTAAAATATTTACAGTACTAGAAAATGGCAGCAGAAAAAGAAAAGAAAAAAAAAAACAAGAAATGGTTGATCATACTGGATAGAACCAGGCGAACAGTTATAGGTTATCCATCAAAAGCACCTCCCCATATTAATAAATAAACAAACAATATCCCAATAATGGATACCAAAGAACGCCACAAACGAACCCCAAATTAAAACCCACCTAAAAAATTTACAGTAATAGAAAATGGACGCAGAAAAGAAAAGAAAAAGAAAAAGAAAAAGAAAAAGAAAAAGAAAAGAAACGGTTGATCATACTGGATAGAACCAGTCGAACAGTTATAGGTTATCCATCAAAAGCACCTCCCCATATTAATAAATAAACAAACAATATCCCAATAATGGATATCAAAAGAGCGCCACAAATAAACCCCAAATTAAAACCCACTTAAAAAAATTTACCGTCATAAAAAATGGAAGCAAAAAAAGAAAAAGAACCAAAAAACAAGAATTGGTTGATGATACTGGATAGAACAAGGCTAACAGTTATAGGGATTCACAGACATTGGGATTGAAAATGATCAACCAACCTTCATAACTCCACAGGCTTCACAAGTTAAAAGAGGAAAGAGAGCTTGAGCAGATTGGGATGAGATAGAGAGATTTCAAGCTAGGGCATTCGATA